ACTGATGTTGGCAACATATAGTATCACAAGCCGCGGTATGTAAACTGCTGATCAGGGTCAATTGGGTAGTTTCTGTTGTCATTACGATTTAAAAAGAGCAAACAGTTGTTTGACAGAAAATGGCACCTACTCAACTCGTGTCTCGTGTCGTCATATTTACTGAAATAATGGCCAAAATATTAAACAAATTACACCAGAGTGTGTGAACATGTGAGGACAGTCGTTCACTTCAGCTGTTGTTTTTTCTGTATGGACAGTGAGTCACTTGAAATATCAATTACATGCTTTTTTTTTTTTTTCATTCTAACATACAAAAATATATATTTCTGACACCCAAGAGCAAAATCAAAACACATGCATGCACACACTATTACTCACTATTACCTAAAGGTGGTTAGAGTTGGTATCTAGTCCAACCTGCGTGTTTTTGAAATGTTGATTAAAAACAGGAGTAGCTTGAGAAAAGCCCATGAATGCATCGGGAGAAAACCCAAACAGCAACAACAATCCTTCAACCACGACATTTTTACCTTGGAGGGACAGATGTTTTGCTTTTGATGCATCAAAGAAATGCTGCAAATTAATACAACGTGGTATTTGTTATGTTTTTACATATGTAATGATAAGAGACGCTGTCTGGGTTGCTGTGCTCTGTTTGGTCTCGGTGCTTTGATGATGGACTGCAGGACTTTTCATTGCTTCTGGATCTCAGCTCAAATGTTAATAAATATGTATTTTTAATAAAATAGGATAATAATAATAATAGTTTCTGTGGAGTGCGCAGAGCATTACAAAAACAAAGGACTGTTCTCACTGTGACTCCAGTCCTGTCGTTCACAGTGAAGAGACGTTCAGGAGAATCGGCTCGTTCTTGAATGTCACATCATTTTATTCCAGACTTTGGTTACAGCTTCACGTCAGTCAACAACCCCCACAATAAGCGCAGTGAGTGCCTGCCAGCATTTATCATTGGAAATGCAACACACGTGTTACTGTACAGCTGGACCGGACCGAGACCATCAAAAAGTGGTCTGGAGACCTGTCTCCAGAGTTACGAAACTACAGTTTAGAAATTGAACTAACACTGATTTCATTTTACAGTTTATCTGCATTGTCCCCAATATCTCCTCAAAGATTAATTGCATCATTTTGCAATTTTAGATGCAACTACAAATACATACTTTCCACCATAATATCTGCTTGATGGCAAAAGCTACATTTGTGCATGTCGGCTGCAATGCATATCTTCCCTCGCACTCTGTCGACCACTGTTGCACTTTATGCACATTAAGGGGTCTGACTCACATCGCATCCAGGAATGCAATGCTTTGTCTGTTATTTGAGAGTAAAACACAAAAATGCATGCAATCCTTCTGTTGGATGGACCACAACCTGAAACTCACTGTTCCACCACATGGCGGGTTTTGGGGTTTCAGTATGTGCAGGGACACCAAGACTTTGGACAAAAGCTGAGATCACTAATGCTAACATCCAGGTTTGATTAATTTGAAACCACAGGGATTTTTACAACAAGCAGTCTTGGTTTCACATCCACAGTTCAGTAGTTCTGTAGAACAGTGATGCGAAATGCCAGAAGCGCAGCGGTTTAGAGATCCCACAAGAGCAGACGATTGAGTTTTGATGTGCTTAAGAGTCGGTTGCTTGCTTTCTGAGGGCAGCAGCCAGCGTCAGGCCAGTGTCCACAACTGTTCCTTTTGGTTGCATTAAACAATGTACAGGTTTCTCTGCACAGTCAGACTGCTGATAGATGCACCAGAAATAGAAAGTCGACAGAAAGTTTGTTTTTTCCCCCCACTGATTACAGCTGTAAGCTTTGCAGTGTGTCTCTACCAGCTTTGCACCTTTAGTGACTGACAATTAAGTACGTTGTTGGTTTATTTTCTATTTAACATTTTTACTGCTTTAATTTTGACCCTGTGCGAATTGGCACAAAAATACTTTTTAATGTGAACCACGAAGAAAAAGCGCCTGGAAACCTGAGGTGTACAGAAACATTTGGGTCTTTTAAAATCAGCCAACAAAAACATTTCTGTTTACTGCGGCTTACCGTAAGACGCCAAAGTTGCTTTACCGTCGCGTCATTGCTTACGCTTTCCTAAATGTTTCATTGTATTTCTTGTAATTAAGAGTTGTGTTTTATGTGTGGCATTTAATTTGGCAAAGATGCATATCTGCTCTTTTCCACTGCTCTGTGCTGCACAAGCGAACTCGTCTCGAAGCAAAGCAGGAGTGCAGGTCAGGTTCAAACTTGCTGCTTTCGCAAACTTATAGGAAAGATTTTGTAACGTTTGCTGCTTTCGCCGGATGTGCCTTTTAGAGGAAACAAAGCCTTTTGACCTATTTATAGAACAGAGAAGTTATAGGAATCAAATCTCATCAGTTTGATTGACCTGTTGAAACAAGAAACTAACCGCTCCTGCGAAATGACAAACAACCTCAGGGCTTCTGATCCTAACTGGTTTCTATTTTTTGCAGGCGGCGTGTTTAGACAATGGACTATTTTTACTCCCACTTAAACCCTGGAGCAAAATATAAATTAACAATCAGAAGCGAACAAAAAAAACCCTCAAAGCAGAGCCTATAAAAAAAAAAAAAAAGGTTTCGGTGTTTACATGTCTTCATTTTCTTGTCATTATTCTGGAGAAATCAGTTTTCAGTTTGACATTAAAGTTTGTTCGGGGGTTTTTGTCAAAGAGGCCAAATTTTGTTGATTATGATTTGAAAAATAAAATTAAAAAAAAGTACCAAAAAGTTACACAAGTTGATGAAAACATTTTAAATGAACTAGACTTGAAGAGTCACAGAGCTAAACGCATTTGCTCAGTTTAAGTTGATTAAAAGTAGCTCTCGTAGTTTCTCTGGCAGATCTTTTCCCCTGCAACAAAACACTTCTCTCAATTGTGAACAAATCTGCCAATGAAACCGGTCGTCTAAGCAGAATTACTGACTTACAGTTACTTGTAGGTCAGTTTAGTTTTTCTACAAATGCACTGAGATATTGGCACAAGAAACCAGACAGACAATTCTTTGTAGCACTTTCTGTTTTTGTAGTGAAATATAACATAATCCTGTGTCATGACCTCAAACAGGTGGAACTTATGAACATTTTTTACAAATTTCCCACAGTCTTTAAGCCCTTTGTGGCAAAAACCAGCAGCTAGTTTTATAGGACTTCTTCCCACACAGGTGCACAAAATAAATCATTTAACATTAGTCTTGTGCAAACAGCCGAAACCACGTCCAACAGTGAAAACATGTGCAAGGGGATCAAGTGCATTTTACTTTGCATGGATTTAAGGAGACGTGTCTCCTGAAGCGTTAATTTCACACGGCTCAGCACAGATTACAGACGGCATCCTGAAGCAAAACAGACAGTGTTGCAACTCCGGGTCACTTTCACTTTTGGTTGAAGAGCGTCTGACGTAGCAGGAAGTGATGATGAAACTGTCTGGTCTCAGGGCAGACCCACCCACACTCGCATGCCGCTGGAGGAGGCGGCGCAACAAAAACAAGGAGCAGGCGGAGATAGCAAGAGGGAAACTTGTTTTTATTAACGTTTCAGCAGGGTAAAGTACGCAGAACGTATCAACGTCACACAGTAGTAGTTTCAATAAAAACGAAAGGTCGGCTTTATTTCCCCCGGTTCTTGCACCACCGCAGGTAAACCTCTTATGTGCTTCACTATTCACAACAGAGATACAATCAACTGATGAGCTCATTCATAATAATAATAATAAAGAAAACATACAAACATACACCATAATTCAGTGCATAAGAAACAAATGTGTGCACCATGAGTGAAGAACCAATAATAATAATAATAATAATAATAATAATAATAATAATAATAATAATAAAAGATTCATTCATCTCCCGTCTGGCCTTTTCTCTTTGGCTTGTGTGCGTCAGTCCGGTTGTAACATCAAACGAGTCTGAGATTAGTTTTCACTCCACAGGCCAGATGAGCCGGGTCAGGGGCGGGTCAGGCGCGGGTCAGGCGCGGGTCGCCTGCAGGCGGCAGGCCGGCGACATCGTCTTGGCGACTTCGCTGGAGGTGAAACTGTGGAGCGATCCGGCCGGACCGGCGCGCAGGTAAAGCTCGCAGAGTGCAGAGCGGAGCTTCAGTGCACCGACAGCAACAAAAATACATTCATTTGGTACAATCCAGCAGTCAAGATCAAGTACAACCAGGGGAGCGCCTCAGCAGTGCGGGGCTGGTGAGCGTCCCTGTGGTTTCCCGTCTGCACAGAGAGCTTCTGCTGCTTCAGGTTTATGCAAAAATTACAGAGAGTCAGTTATCGTTTGGCATTCAAGTCAGCCTAAACTTAACAATATCACCAAATAAAAAAATTAAAAAACACAGTCCAGTTTCAGCTTTTGGAAATCGTTTCTCTTAGCTTACAGAAGAAACCAGATGAGCAACGTGTTGGACACGCAGGTGACATGAAACTATCACCACAGCACCAAGAAACTGAGACATTCCTTGCTTTGTTTGAGTATTAAATAAGAATAATTATTATGGTAGTAATAATACTAATAACACAAATAAACAAATGGCTGATAAATTAAGAATTAGCTTCATAGCTTGTTTTCCCAGCCTTAAATATAAATGAACAAAGAAAGAAAACATAAAAAAAACAGAACAAGGCACTTGTTAAGGAGGTAAAATAGCTTTGTGTTTTTTTTTTTGTATTTTGTTTTGTTTTTTTTTTTAATCACAAATTAAGACTAAATGTCTTCAACTGAGATGCATAGATTTGCTCTTGTTTTCCTGCAGACAGTCAAACGACGAGGCTCAGCGGCTCCGGCAGAGGGAATAGAACCAGAAACCAGACAGTCTCTCAGCAGGATTCAGTCCTCCTCAGCGGCTCCGCGTCTCGGGCTCTTCTCTTAATCCATCCAGATCCGGTCTTCACCTCATCAGCATCATTCATCTTTTTTTAAACTTTATTTTTACTTTATCTACTCTGCGGACTGAGTCAATATTCACATTTGTTCCCAAGCAGGTAGCTCAGGCCCATACTCACGTTGAGCATCCGGAAGCCCTTTTCTGAGGAAAAGCGGAATCTGATCACGTCTTCCGCCACCAGGTAGACGATGCTCTGGAGCCCCCTGCAGACCCTTTCTTGCGTTGCGTTCATGGCGAAGGAGCTGACTGGGAGCGTGCGCTTCACCAGCAGCGTCAGATTCCCGCTGACGTTCGAGGAATTGCCCATCTTCTCGTAGCAGCTGCGCATGTGCCAAACGTAGGGCCCCGTGCAGCTGATGGTGACGTTGCCGTTGTTGTTCTGCAACTTGTTTTCCCTGTCCGTCTTCAACTCCAGATGTGTGTCTGATCTCAACGCTGGCAGATGAGAAAAAAAAAAAAGTTAAAACAAAAGTGGCATGGTAAAAATTGACAAAAAGAAAAAGGTTGAAGCATTTTGTTTGAGTTTCGTTGAGGTGATGTTCTCACCTGCGTGCGTTTCAAACTGGATGTACACGGGGTCTTTTGGCTGCTTGGAGACAGACAGAGAGAGAGACACATCAGAGACACGTGGAAGCAGTCTCCTGTTTTCTCCTGATGCTCAAAGGCTGCATGACTAACTTAAAAAAAAAACAAAAAAAAAAACGAGAGCTGCAGAAAAGGTCACGCAGCGCAGCTCTGTGCGTGGACCCCTTGATGTCTCGTTTGAGAAATCCAGCTTGTTTTGTTCGAGTCCGTGGTTCAGCAATGCAGTGCGAAAATAAACATGTTGACAGAAACCAGGGAAAATTTCACAGTGGGTGATTAATACCAGTAGTGAGAGCAGTGTATCACAAATCAACAGCACAGTGTAAAAGTGGAACAGATGTTAGTCACTGAACTCCTAAAAGCTGCGCAGAGGGTTTGATACAGAGCAGAAAGTCAGCCGCGCTCCGCATGCAGCAAACATGTTCATTTGGTCATGTTCATGGCTTTCTTCCTGTCACACCGACTTTGATTCATTCTGATTTTTTGCAGGTCAACATGCAACCTGTGAGCCGGCTGCAAGTCTAGACTGTCGATCACGTGACTTTTGAGTTAAAGCACAAAGACTTTATTTGTATTTTTTACAGATAAGACTTAATCTGTCCCACAGTTTCTCAGTTCTGTTTTGCTTCTATGCTCTTTCAGCGGGAAAAGAAAAGAGCACCCAGAGATTTCAGGCTGATTTCACAGGAACGGGCTGCAGGACGGAGCTCAGAATCCATCACACACAGATCAGCTTTTCCCTGGCTTACAAAACAGTGCAGCTCATCATTAATGTCCATCCCTATTTTTTTTTAAATGCAATATATATATAGGCTATATCAAATAAATATCAAACATGCACATCCAGACTTGAACGTCTGTTTTACATTTTAGAATATGGAAGACTTGAAGACAGATTTACAAACTCAGGAGGAAAACAGGTGAGCATAAAAGTCACACGTTTAAATTATCCATTTCTAATCAGGCTTTTCTCTCTCTTGCATTTATATTCAGGCGTCTTTGCCTCTGGACCGCTTATTATCTTGCAGCAGCCCCGCGATGGTCAACCTGTCCCTGCAGGAGTCTGAGAGGACAACAGACCTTCAACTCTTCTCGCGAGTTTGGCGACAACACTGAACATCTTGCTGAACTCACCACGGCCAGAGACTCCAGGTAAAGGTAAACGGTGACCAGCAGGCAGGCGACCACCAGCAGGTTCTGCACGGCCACCACGACCGCCAGCCTCCCGACTCTGCCGCTGCGTCGGACGGCGCGACCTCCCTCGGCATCCATCGTCCTCTGGTCGATCGGCGCTCTGAGCTCCCAGCCGGAGCCGCGGGGCGTTTTTAACTCGAGTGGGCTCACTGGAAGGTGGGGAGTGACTGGAAAGAAGCCGCTCGTGATCGGGCGCTTTATTTTGTCTGATCTCGTGTGGGCGGGCGCGACATTCACGCAGATTCTCTCTCTCTCTCTCTCTCTCTCTCTCTCTCTCTCTCTCTCTCTCTCTCTCTCTCTTCTCTCTCTCTCTCTTCTCTCTCTCTCTCTCTCTCTCTCTCTTCTCTCTCTCTCTCTCCTCTCTCTCTCTCTTTCTCTCTCTCTCTCTCTCTCTCTCTCACACACACACACACACACACACACACACACACGCGCGCGCGCGCGCGCGCGCACGCATACAGTCGCCTCCGCACGCGCGTGCGAGCTCTGAGGAGAATCGGGAGCGAAACCGGCGCACCGCGCTCTGATTGGTTGACAGTGCGCTCATGGTGCGCGGGGGGAGATCCTCCGTGGCACAGCGCTGCCACTCGGAAGACTGAAGCGAGTGAAACCGGCTACGTCACGCAGCCATTTGCGCTTCAATCACGGCCGGTCGGGTTCTCATCGGGAGGCAGATGTGAGGAAGTGAAGACCACACTGGTTGTTTCTAAGAAACCAGAGGCGCTTCACTCCAACTCACTGCCGAACGGGTGCAGATGGTGGCCGTTTCGTTTCAGTTCGTTTGATGAACCCTGAAGCAGGTCAAAGGTCAATCTGATGCTCTGAGCGTCACGGAGTCTTGCTGGCTGGTCAGAAATAGGTGAACTTGTCTCAAGGATGGAGGAGGCCATATTGGCACAGATACACAGTTCAGTACTGAACCTGAGCATAACAGCTGTCATTTTATCAGTCGAATCACATCTGTTATTAGTCGTAAAGCACCAAGCCGCCGCAACACAGAGAGACGTTAAATAATGTTTACTTTTAAGGATGTTACAGAGAAAGCTGTAATATTCTTAAAAGGTGTCATGAAAACTGGTATGAGGAGGTGAGATCTGTCCAGGGTTCATGCAGAAAACAGATCATAACGGGCCTGAGAGACTGAAGTAATCTTGTATTATGATTCAATGCTGATTATGGGAAAATGTATTATGATATATATTATGTAAAAGTATTGATGATTATGAAGTAAGTAAATTCTGAAGTTGATTGTTTATAAATCAGTTAGACAAAAAATCACAATTGAATGTGTAATCATACCGAATCAAAGTAAAGAATCTTAAGTAGTAATGATTGAAGGAATGTATTAACCATGATTACGTTGATAAAGTTATGATTCTGTATAACATATAAAAGACTGAAATCAGAATAATGGAAAGATAGGGACAGTCTTTGGGTCCAGAAACAAGCCTGGACATGTTCTGGTAATAGGCAGAGGCCTGGCCTGAATGTATTCAGGTAAATTCGCCAGGAAACTATAATGTAATCAAACCAGAGCAGAAGGGAGCAACTGATGACCAAAAATATAGTCTGGTATGACTCCCTGTATGTAATCATATACTTGAGAAACCATGTAATTCGCTATCAGCACACAACAACAGAACATAAACCCCACGGAGAGCTGGGGTCTTTCATCTGCAGCAAGTGGAAGGAGCAACAGCGGGGACATCGAAGGAGCTTCGCCCGGACCCAGAGGGAAAACAATCTACACTTTGCTGGAAGAAAGGACGGGACCCAATGCCCAACAACTCTGGTTCCTGATTCGACTGAAGCTCCACACTCAACCCAAAAGAGATCTCAAGAATTACTGCAACGGACTTGGGGACTGGACAAAGGTCACAAAAGTGATGAAGATTTGGGACGTTTTGAGAGACAACTACCAACTCTGCTTTGTTCCTGTTCGGATGAGGATTTGTCGCACCAAGACAAGATTCTGGCCAAGGACATTAACACTTCTGTTGCCGAGATCCCCTGTCATCTGAGTATGAGTTGCCTGCACCCAAAAAAAGCCTTTTTAGTAAATTGATGGCACTGTTAGGGAAAGATGTTAGGAGAGGTTTCTGTTGATTTTATACAAATTTAGAACTCTTAATCTTTATACATATAATTATTGAAAATTAATCTGTTTGCCATTTACCCTTGCTTAAAGCTTGCTCAAATAAAAATATATAACTATCAAAATTCTATTGACGTTTGTGAACATTGAAATTTATTGAGTCGTCTTATTAATATCGGTTCTTCTACTTAATGTAAAATCTATGCACATGGTTCTAGAGAAGTGGTGGCTTCGGACTTTCTTTTAGTAGACATATTAAATAATGACCCTGGGACTTACAAAGTCACTAAAAATATTCTAGTCGGTAACAAGTGCTGGTTATTCTTAGAGAGAAGGTCTCCGTTAACAGGAGTGGTTATTGGTTGTGAGGGCTACTCAACTGATTGCTCCTTAACTGAAAAGGGTCATAACTTCTGGATAGTAGGTACTAGGAGCTAGACGAGTCTCTCTCGACACCAGCTTAAGCAGATCGTTCCTCTCAGACCTTCTGCAGGGTAATACCCAGGTTTCAGGAACTTTCCGGACCCGTTAGATGGAGAGCTGGTCAGTAGTCATCCCAGAGGAGTTGTGAGGATTAGGGCGGGGCTGGCTATTGCATAATAACAAACAAAGGTTATAAGTTGGTGGTTTCATCAAACAGGACCTGCATGAGAACCTTCATGACCTCGACTCGTCAGTGTCAGTTTGACGGGTTGCTTTAACCTGCTTCCAACTTTGTCACTTCATAACCACAAACATCAGCTTTTTATAGAAACGTTCCGACCAAACGGGACGTGGAAGAAGGTAATAAAGGTTTTAGAATAAGGTGTAATAAATGCTGTTTTAGGGAGCGTGTCCAAACGCGTCCTTGTGGTTTTACATGTTTACGCAACTTAATGGTGAAGCTGTCGCCGAGTCGCCTGAATTCTGCCACACCAAACGTGTCGTTCGACAGAGGTAAGCCGTAAAACGACGTCGCAAACTTTGAACATCTCAGAGTATTCCTAAAGAAACGCATGCGTTAAAGACAGCGGCGCGTCGGCTCCATGGAGATCCACAGCTCGGGTGGGAGATTCTGGCAGCTGTGAGTTGTGCCCTCCATCCCCGCCCCAAAAGTCACGTCTACAAGCCACACATTAACCACGCAGGAGACGCTGTGGTTAATGTTACCCTGACCCCACAGTGAAGCACGGTGGTGGCAGCGTCATGGAGAAGAAAAGCTGGTCAGAGCTGATGGATGGAGTTAAACACGGAACAGTTCTGAACAGAAAAGCAGTTGAAAATCAGAAAAATGTTTGCGCTCTCTGGCCGCTCTGATCAATTGTAAGTCCTCAAGTTACACTGACGCATTCTAGAGGACTTTTCGGATTCGTCTCTATCAGCTGAGATAAAAAAGACTGTCATGTTTTCACTTGCTAAGAAAAAAAACTGGACTTTTTTCCCCTCTGTTCCCCTTAAAAGTGATTCTGTACTTCGCATGATCCTGCAGGGAGGTTCTATGGATATCTCTCATGTCAGCCGATTCATCCGTCTCCTCGGCAGGGATTGGCATGCACTCCCCCTCCAATGAAGCTACAGAAAGCAAAAGGACGTTCAGCGTGTTACACTCCCAACATGTAACTCGTCCTGACATGATGCAGCCTCCTCTCTGGTCTCTCCTGCAGTTGAACTTTTTGCTGCAGCGCAGCGGAAGTTGCGCTGATATTTGCCCTGAACTGTCAGGATTTGCCTTTTTCCATTTCCAGTTGCTTCTCTTTCACTTAGTTACAACAAAAACGCTCTCCGCTGACATCTTGAAGGGCGATATGAATCAGTCAGAATGTTTGAAATAGGTTAGCCCGTACAGAAACGTACATAACGACATAACCCTTGTATACATTCGTCTCAACCAAGAAACAGCCTTCAGTGCTGCCAGGAGGCATAAATATTTTGAGCAGACGTTCACTTGTGGGGTTTTCCCCTGACCTTCTGGGCTGTATGTGCTTGTAAACCACCTAAACAGATTCACCAAGCCAAGAGTTCGACCTGAAATGGAGAACTTCTAGAGCACCCAAATGGAGAACTTCTAGAGCACCCAAATGGAGAACTTCTAGACCTGATGCAGGCTGTGCCCTTTGAAATGTTGCTTGGGTTTCGAGGCAAAAGAGCCATTTAGTGCTAAGAATTGTACACTTTTTCAGCAAAATCTTTTTTTCAATAATAACGAGTCAAAAGAGTGCAATTTAAAGAAGCCCAGCTGATGGTTAAGAAACTCTCGTAGCTTGGGGGTCGAGGGTTCTGTGCCCAATTCTCCCACTGATTTGTTTTTGAGGAACCAAAGCCAAGCAAGAGAAGGACGCTCTTTTAAACTTCCACACGCTAAGTTCCAAATAACTGTAATCACTTTCGCTTGGTCCCTCCGAGCAAATACAAAAACAAACAAAAGAAAAACATTTGACTCATAATTTGATCAAAGTCCAAACGTGGAGAGTTAGTTTTGGATCATCATATGTTCAGAACTTGAGGAACTTGAGTACTTGGCTCTGAAATCTGCTCTAATTGAATTTTAAACACTTCATACAGTCCAATATGCGGAAATAAACAGAAGCTGTGATTGTAGCTTAAAAAAATAAATTAAAAATGAAGACAAGAGGTGGTTTTGGGAACATGCGGCGTTTTAGATTTACCACCATTAGCGCCAGTCCTCCCCCATTTCCTGCCTGATCACTGTGAATACAGGTCAGTGGAGCAGAGGCAGCAAATGTTGTTTAAGCTGTTATGACGCATCCAAAATGTTTCTTTGTGACCGCAGCACACTGCATGACCTGTTGATGAGGATGTATTTTTTATTTTTTTAAAGGTTTCCCATCCTCAATATGGACTAAGGCCAATATTGGCCAATATAAGTCAATATTGGCCAATATTGGTCAGTATTGACCAATATTAGTCAATATTGACTATGCTGTGTGGTCAACACAGCACCCATGTTTTTAATGAAAATGTGTCCGAGGGCTTATAATGCCAAATATGCCATTTGAAAATGTCTAACACCCGCAACTCTTTGGAAAAGTTTGAACCGTAGTCAAATATTTTGCACTGCTGCGTATCCAGCCATTTCCAGCACCTTTCTTGTAAAGGAGAGACAAAGTTTTGTGCGTTTCAGACGCTGATGTGTCCCCCGTCCACAGCCCACCTCCTCTTAGCCCCGTGATTCATTTCTAGCAGTTTCTGGCACAGAGGAAAGCAAACATGGCCTGTAAGCAGCTGTTAATTGCTGGGAATTGAGCTAGTGGGTGTTCACAGGACAGAAAATCTGGTTTTGCTTCCTGTGCCTTTTTTTTTTATATCACATGCAAAAGTGCATCTTTTTTATTTGGAAATGTGACAAAATGTACCAATTATTACACACACTAAAGAAATCTAAGCGAATCTATATATTTTTGTGCCTTAAATCTGCAAATAAAGGGATTATTTATGTCCATTTGATGTTTTTCTACATTCATTTCTTGCATCTGAGCTTTAGTGGGAAAATGTCCTCTTAGTTTGTTGCGATCTTAAATTATGAACAATGGGATACAGGATAAATGGTGTGCAGCAGGCAAAAATAAAAAGTGAGTGGAGCGGGGGAAAAATGAAATATAACTTTAAAAATAAATGAATCAGAGTGACCACTGGTGACAAATTTACGGTGCTGTCCTTAACCACACTTAACCACAGTTAATTGAAAACGTGCAAAAAGGTAAAAACACAATCAGGTTTTTTTTTTAAGTTTTTTTTTATATTTTAAATAGACACAAAATAACAGCTGTAACTACATCAGCAACGCTTCTGACAAGA